AACAGTTAGTGTCAGAATTGCTTAGCATGGAAAATCCACACCTTTGTCGGAACAGAAGTATTGCGAAAAGAGAACAGAAGAAAACAGTGCATTTTTTTAAAGCACCTGTTTCACCCTTGACAATGTTTTAAAGATGCCTGATATATTCTCTTTATCATTCTCAACTACTTGGAAAAATAACTATTATTATGCAAATTTTACAGAGGAAGAAATGTTCATGACCTCACTTGGTATCATGCAGCTCGTAGGTGGCAGAGATTTGAATCCAAGGCCATCTAGCTATAATTCTGCTGCAGATCTACATACAGCAGAACCCCTAAAGAGAGGTGTGCACCTCTCCCCTCATTCGGGCTGGGCCTAAAGCAGGGAAGCAGATGTGGTGGGCACCAGAAGATTTTGATGCAGACACTCACCTGTCGAGGTCGAGGCAGAGCTGAGGATACTGATGCATCATAATCACCCAAAGCTCATAGTTTATCTAAGGGTTCGCTCTTGGTGGTGTACATTCTATGGATTTGGACAAATATATAAGACATATTTCCACCATTATCATATCCTATAGGTATTTTCACTGACCTAAAAATGCTCTGTGCTCCCCCTATTCCTCTCCCTAACCCCGGCGACTACTGATCTTTTTATTGTCTTCATATTTTTGCCTTTTCCAGAATATCATATGATTGGAATCATATAGTATGTAGCCTTTTTTATTTTGTTTTATTATTATATTAGCATAGGGCCTTTTAACATTGGCTTCTTTCACTTAGTAATATGCATTTAAGCTTCCTCCATGTCTTTTTATGGCTTGATAGCTCATTTTTAGTGCTAAAAAATATTTCATTGTCTGGAGGTACCACATTTTATCCATTCAGCTACTGAAGGATATCTTGGTTTCGTCCAAGTTTTGGCAATTATGAATAAAGCTGTGATAAACATCCAAGTCCAGGTTTTGTGTGGACATGAGTTTCCAACTCCTTTGGGTAAATACCAAGGTATGTGCTCTCCATAGTGCCAAATCATTTCTTCGTGTTAGGAACCCTAATTGTTAGATATTTTAATGTATTTTTTATTCCATTGTACAGATGAGGGCACTAACGCCTTCACAAAACTTTCCAAGGTCATTTAGCTACAAGTGGTAGGGTCTAGATTTGAACCCAGATATGTCTGCCAAGACGTCTGTGCTGATGCTACCACATCATGCTACTGTCTGCGATCTCAGGATAGGCAGGTTTTGGTGCTAAAACCTTTTTAAAATATTTCGATTTAAAATTATTTCTCATACATTAAAGCACAATGAAAATGATATAAACTAACAGAAAAATCTGACTCTAAAGCTCAATCATGCATGCAGATTCACAAAGGGATTAAAGAAAAGAAATTAAGTTAATTTGCTTTTTAAGACTAAATGAATATTAACGTCGATTGCTTTGTTGATATTTGTTTTTGCAAGCTTAGTCCAGTAGTTTCCTTGGATATGAATTTCAAGTTGCAGCATCTTTCTCTGTCACCAAATTTTATGATACCTAAAAAGTTCATACCCATCATTCAGAGCTGTCATTCCCCTCTTCCAAAAGGATATCATGTGCAAGATTTCTTCTTTTTTATTTCTGGTTATTGTCCTCTAGTGATAGTTTGTTTCTGCATCTAATTTGGATGTTCTATGTTCTTTCTCAAATAACTATTCAAGAGAGAATTTTTTAAAAGATTTAATAAAACCTTCTGATCATCTAAACATAAGAAATATATGTATTACATGGTCAGTGGCTTTCAGGATGAAAGTCTTGTGTAGCACATCCAGGATGGTGTAGCCTGTCAAGAAAGAAATTATTTGGAATTAAAGTATTTCTGATTCCAGAAAGAAGTCATTTGACTCTCTTTTCTCTATCGACTTCTCTCTGAGCTTTGGTTTACAGCAAAGCAAAGCTCTGCGAGGCTACAGCTGTGATGGTGCCCTGCATATCCAAAGTGGTCAATAAACTTCTGATAGTAATTCATTTGACCCTGGCAGCTGCATGTAGGTTTCAGTGTGAAAAGAATGGCTCGCAATTTAAGTCAAGCTTTCTAAACCTCAGCGTTCTAGCTGCTTTGGGCTGGATAATTCATTGTTGTGGGGACTGTCCTGTCCATTGTAGAATATTTAGCCACATCCTTGTCCTCTACTGACAAGATGCCGGTATTACACTCCCTACCCCTCCATTTGCGACAACCAAAAATATCGACAGACGTTCCCAAATGTCTCCTGGGGAGGGGACTGTGAGACATCTGCTGATCTGAATAAAGGAATGGGGTCATTGAGACTACAAAAGGACCGTGAACTTTGGGAGAGGAAATGAGCATACTGTGTGTATGGGACAACAAGAAAGCTAGAGGAAACGAGGTGGGATGAACAAGATAGAGTCATAATCTGAAGACACTATAAAGGACAAGGAGGCAGTGGCACTTACATTGTAATAAATGGTTATATTGGAATTTGGAATGGCGATTGAATTGGATTTTAGAATGTAAATGCTATTAGGGAAAAGATTAAGACAAAGAAAGTAATTATAAAAGTGATTTTTTTTTTAAGAGCAAGAGTTTCTGTTCTGAGCAAGAACAGTTTTCTGAGTGATGATGATTAGAAAGAGGTATTTTTGTATTTTATTGATTTATTGGTAGTCAGAGCTGCCAGAGCAGGCACTGGTATGGGAATTGGTAGAAAATACAGATGAGAGAGAAACTGAGAGGTTCTCTATCCCATTCCTCCTACTCAATCTCAGAGACGGTCCACACTACAGTAAACCTCCTAGACAACTGCAGGCTCTTTAAGGGACTCGAAACACTCTCTCTCTCTCTCTCTCACACACACCGCACACGCACACACTTCTATTATACAATAACTCATACTGAAACAACAGCGTCCATTTTGGGAAGAAAAAAAGATTAACAATCAAATCCATTTATTTGGTACCAAAAACATAAATGGTTTTTAACCCTGACTTTAAATAAAAGTCATCAAGAACTCTTAAAAAACACTGATGTCTTGGCTCTACTCCCAAGAAATTCCAGTCAACTGATCTACAGTGGGACCTGAACACTGATCATTTTTTAAAGGTCCCAAGTGTTGATACAGTATAACTGGGATTATAAGATTGACTAATACATAGGGTCTAAAGAACAAAACAAGACGACGCATGATTAATTATCCAATTATGTGTTAGTTGTCATCAGCATCCTGGTAGGAGAAAAATCGATGGCAAAAACAGAAAAAATCAGGTTAGGTCGTTGTTACTTCTATGCTGATTGAACCAGAGAGATTGTCTTATTTGAGTAAATAAATGAGCTGGGCCTTTTGTCTCGCTGAGTTCTTTGTGTATTATTTTGCCCTTCTCACCAATCACTCAGAGTGTTTTAACAGTCTTATGTTATAAATCTCCTACAGATATGAATATAAATTATCCTGTTGCATTATAAAACTCCTAGAAGAAGTGAGATCAGGGCAGACACCAAAAGAATGAGATGGGCAACAGAAAACAGGCAGTGGCTTCTGGGCCCCGGGCCTGGAAGACATTTGCAGGGAAATAACGAGAACAGTTTTCACTTTAAACTAGTGACAAACATATGCAAAATGTCCCCAGGAGACTGTGGAGGAAATTTCAGAATGAGAAAATAAGAGGTCCATTATCACTTTGCGATGACATAGCTAAAAGCCATGGAGCAAGTAATTAGATAAATTATACTTTCAGTCATCTCAGATTAAGGCCCTTCCAGAATGACATTTTATACATTCAGTAGTGTGTTTGACCTCTTTTGGAAATGTCAGAGGTAAGATAATGTGATTAGATTGATACAGTGGGCATTCGTTTGCTTTCCCATCGTATGGTTCCAGCATTAGCTCTTTATTCACACAAGACAGCCAGATGTCAAACACTAAAGAATATTAAGTAAACCTTAACTATTAACCAAAGAATCTAATAGAATTGAAGAATAGCTTTCTTCTAATATTTTTCAACCTGAGTATAAGAATCAAAAGAAGTTCTACCTGAATAAAACCAATATTTTGTAACTATAACTCATACTACAAAGTTTTGTCTTCTTCAAAATTCAGTACTATCAAAAAATTGGAAAACTTTCTTAAATTCAGGAATGAAGGACTTTACATGCTGTACTGTTACTTCATGCAGTAATAAAATAGAAATATTCCATTTTATTACTACACGGAGGGATAGAGAAGCTGACTGTACATTCAAGCAATGGTGAGCCCAGACTACACAAGTCAAGACACTTATTCTGTCTTTTGTGTTCAGGAAGATTTGCACAGTGATGGAGAGAAAAAGAAAGGGCCCCAAAACGGGCTTCCTGTGATTTTCAAAAGCTATTTCTATGTAACCACTGGGCCCACTGCCTAGAATCTTGAGTAAATCATCCATGATCCAGGATAGAGAAAGAGCATGCATACTTGTTTTTCCACAGAGAATCCAGAATATTAATTTAGCCAACAGTTTCAACTGTTGAACCTGTCAAGAACAGCTGACAAGTAAAACATAGCTTACATTTCTTCTTTTTCTACTCTTCTTATCAAAGGGACCAGTGAAAATATTAATGGGTAGACTGAAGGAGATAGTGGAGTAGATGAAGGCAAGGCCCCTGATTCATCATCTCCTAAATTAGTCAGTGTTTAAGTACATGCCTAAATGCTTTCTGTTCATATTGGAATAGAAAAACATTTGATTAGGAGCCAGGAGACAAAATTCTAGATTCTTTTACTCAATAGCAACAGTCAAAATAACAATGGATAATAGAGTTCTTATTACGTGTCAGGCTCTGTCCATAAATTGGTATTTCAGTTGATCGACAACATTTATATGAAGTCAATACTGTTACGTCCATTCAACAGATGAGGAAAATAAGGCTTAAACTCGCTTAAATGTGCACCACAGAAAACCAGACCTCGGTTTTCTTGATTGAAAAGAGAGCCTTTTTTTTCCCTTCTTTTTTTTTTTCCATTCAAAAACATTCTTATTTAGGATCTCCTTATGCCAGGTGCTCTGCCAGGCCCTAGAGCTGTGATTGAACATGCAGAGCACCCTCTAATGGGCTGGGGCATCTCCAAGGACCTCTTGACTCTGTATGCTGTACCTCTTCTCAGTGATGGAATTGAATATGTCTATCTATATATGGTGATGATCTTCCCTCACTTGTCCATGTGTGTCTGCAGGTGGTGGGCAGGGGAGTGGGAAGTGTGTTCGGCGACTTGCGGGCCCCACGGAGAGAAGAAGCGAACGGTGCTGTGCATCCAGACCGTGGGCGCTGACGAGCAGGCTCTGCCCGCTAAAGACTGCCAGCACCTGCTGAAGCCCAAGGCCCTCATTTCCTGCAACAGAGACATCTTGTGTCCATCAGACTGGACAGTCGGCAATTGGAGTGAGGTAAGCTCAGGGGTTAAAAGGGAAACTGGCATTATTTATGCCTCATCAGCAGCCCCCCCCATTCCTCATTATTAACCAGTCCAAGGTGACCCTAGAGAATATTGCACAGTAGCCAGCATCTGTCACCTCTGGCCTGTTTCCTGCATTTCCCACCTCCTAGTATTCTATCTTGTTTATTTTCCATTCTTATAGGATCTTCCTCTCACTTGTCCAGAGATGAGCTGGATCTTGCTTGCACAGGCATACAACAGCTAATTGCTAAATTGTCAGAATTTTTGCTGGCCCATTTATAACCATTGGTGGCAAATCAGGGCTCCCCACCCACCCCAGGAGCTGGTTTGTTAAACGTTTACTAGTAGTTATGTTCCACTGGAACTATGTAGTTAGCTAAAACCAAAGGTGTGTCACGTAATGGTAGGACGACTGCCTGATACTGGAAGACGCCTCTCAAATCATCCATCTTTTCAGCATGTGTCAAAGCCAGACCTGCCAAGGTTTAGGACATCTCCTAATATTAGCCACAGAAATTCAAATAAGTGTTGCATTTCCTGAAAATTAATCTGATATGATTTTCTGAGTATAACTAGAAATCAGTGGGCTAGAAGGTCATGAAAAACTCTCAGGCTTCAGTTTCCTTTGGGTCACCATGGAACGTGGTACCACCTGTACCATCTCTGAAGATAACTAATTGAAAACAGAAAACACTCATTTAAATGCAGCTGCTTTGATAACCTTATTTTCAAAACTCTCTTTCATTAGCTTGTAGTCACTGTTTAGGTTTATTTCACTTATAATTCTGTGCAGAATTCTCTCGGGCATCTAGTGAAAAGTTTTTTGTTTTTTTTTTTAATGGTAAATATGGTCCCTATATTATAAAACTTTTTATCAAATGGGAAATGTTGGACCAAAAAAAAAAAAGAAAAGACAAAGGTATGCATGCAAAGAAAACATATCTAATGCAGGTATGCTACTGCTACATGCACTGATGCATGTGCATATATCAGCAATAGGCCAGAATATTCCCTCGGCTATTCCCAGGAGGGTACAGAGTGATAGCTTGTCCCTGCCTGGCCTATTCGTCCACCACCAACCTAGATTGCTGTAAATTGCTATGTTGTCAGAATAAGGTCGAATAAGGTATTGTGACTGGTCCATTGAAGCTGTTTACCAAAAGTGTTTGGGCTGCATCCAAAGCAGTTAATAATTCTCGTCATGTAGAATTTACTAATTGCCAGAATCTTCATACTTTTTTAAAGGACTCTGCAGTTACATATTTGGCTGAGGAGTTCTTACTGTGTTTGTGTTTATGGGGAGCAAAATGATATGCCTTACCTGGAGAACAAAGGACCAAAACATTGGCACAATGTGACAAGTACTCATTTCTGTTGTTCCAGATACAGGCCATTGCATAGTGTATTGATAGCAGACTCGATCGAATCCAGTTTCCAGCTTCCACTTGAGGGAGCTGAACAGAAAGTCTGAGTCACTGCCTTCATTCAGGAGATGTTGTCAGGAGAAGTGCTTTTAGTTAAATCAGCATCAAAATATTCATCAAATAGGTCTTCCTTTCTTCCCTCTTCTGTCTTGCTAACGTCTGTACATATTAGCCCTCTAATGAGCTTTACTAGAATGCGATGAAATGTCTTTGACATTCAAACTATGCCTAGATACTTTAAGAGAGATGATATAGTGATTCTTGCTATACCTTGTATTTGTATTCTGGATTTTGTCTTGAGATTGACATTAATTCATGCAGGGTAGCACTCCAGCAATACCTGGTCATTTGGTCTGCACTGGGCCCTTTAGGTTGCCTTGGATGAGTCTGAAGCCGTAACATAACTGGGCCAAAAGACCCAAGAGCTGTGAGGCTCCTAGACTCCTGTAGAATGGTCCTCCCTGGGCTGACCAAGGTAGAAAGAAGATAAGGCAAATCCATGACCTACCCTTTCCTGTCAAGGCACCTCTACCAACCCAAGCAATAAGAGAACGATGGAGTCAGCTGTGCCAGCCTGGCATACTCATCCCTGACCCAGCCAGGGGTCAAATGGGGGACCTCGTGAGTGCCCGAGCTCCCCCTATGACAAGCTCCTCCCCCTCTAAGCTCAGGTTCTGAACTCCTGGCTCCTACTCTTTATTTTAGATTTCACCAAGAATCTTTTCCTGGTTTTGCCCAACCTACTTTGTGGGCTTGGAGGGTAAAGAAAGGGGAGTCTGTTGTCAACAAAGTATCAAAGTTTCTGGCTCCCATTTTTACTAGGTACACCACTTCAGCGACGGGCTTTGTCAGAGGCGGCCAGTCTATTGGTGAAGGACATGGCCTATGGGGTTCAGATCCTGGTTCTGCCACTTATTAGATGTGTGAATTTAATATCTGTGGTTGCTTCTGTTTTTTCTGTGGCTCATTTTCTCCATCCATAAAATAGAGATAACAGCAGTACTTAGACAAAGGAAGTTATAAGGATAACTTCCTTATGCTAGAACGGTGCCAGCACATAGTAAGCTCCACACATGCATCATTTGTTGAAGTGAATGGATGGAAATAACAACAGTGTCATCCACCATTTGCTGAGTGCTTTTCACGCTATATTGTTTATCTCATGTAACTCTTAAAATAATTCCATGAGGTTGGTATTACTTCATTAATTCCCTTATTTCTCCTTGAGTTAGACTAATAGATTTAGTGAGATAGTACTTTTTCTAGGTTTTCCAGACCTGGCAAGCCCTAATTGTATGGCCTTGAACTGGTATTAAACCTCTCTCAGCCTTTTCTCATTTAAAAAGTCAAGGTTATTGTAAGGCTTGACGATAATTCATGTAAGCCCTTTACACAGTGCCTGGCAAATACTAAGTATTCACTAAATGGTAACTTTATTATCAGGCGAAGACTTGAAACTAATAATACACTTTTTTTAAATGGAAATGAAAAAACTAACTAACTAACTAATAAATAGATGAAACAAAGAAAGAAAGAAAAGGAAGGAAGGAAGGAAGGAAGGAAGGAAGGAAGGAAAGAAAAGAAAAGAAAAGAAAAGAAAGAAAGAACCCTTGTTACTCTTTTACTAATTTACTACTGAAGGAAGGAAGGAAGGAAGGAAGGAAGGAAGGAAGGAAAGACAGACAGACAAGGGTCTATTTTCCCTGCTACTCTGACTTTGTAAACCTGCCCAGACAATAGCACCCAAATGTCCTGACAGAATTGATCTGTGGCCCCTGTATTGAGGAGCCACATATTAATAGCCAAGCTGAGGACTGTTTTACTCATGGAGCACTATAAGCACAGGGCTTAGGCCTTGCAAGTTTTTCAAGGGCCTACAGAAATGTTGAGGACCTGGGAAAAAAAAAAAAGCAAATGTACTAATTCCATAAAAACAAAAGGACACTGCCAAATCAGAAATTAACATTTGATTACGTATCAATAGCAAATACTTACTGGGCATTTAGTGTGTGTGTTAAACACCTTTCTAGGTATTAACACAATACCTCACAAGAGCCTTATTTAGCTCTATTTTACAGGTGAAGAAATTGAGGCTCAGAGATGTGTAGAAACTTGTCCAAGGTCGCACAGCCTCCAAGCAATAGAGCCAGGATTTGAGTGCAGGCAGCAGAGCTTTTACTCTGAACACTTTGCCATATTAGATCTCAGACGATATGACAGCTCTTAGTGTTCATAAAGAATGTGTTATGTTTGGAAACAATTTGTAAATAGGCTTTTCTCACTTTTCTGGGATTCCAGACTATACATAAATCAGAGCCACTCATAAATTAAATGAGTTCCCTGCACCAAATATTTTCAAAAACAAAAGAATAAAAAGTCTTTCAAGTAGTTTTTACAGAAAAAATGATTATATTTCACTTGGGACTAGAGACGCTTTTTAATATATCTGATGGGACGTGGGGTGTAGCCTCCACAAGCAGACAAGCCCGGGGTCTGTGAAGATCTTCGATCAGCCCTTTCTGTGCCCGACAAAAAGTATACAAATAAACAAATGAATAAAACAATGAATTAGCCAAGTTACTGAGAATCTATTAAGTACAAAGCTGTTCACTTGGGTGTTGGAGTGCACAAGTGACCAGAGAGACAAATGAGCTCTCCTGGTTCTTCAGACAGAAGGCACTGCAGCAAGCGTCAACGATGTGTCTACTGCTGAATGAGAAGCAAATTTAAACTCATGTGAAGTCCTACAGGAGTTTCTGCCAGCTTGAGGGACACAGAGCATGGAAGGCTAGGAGACATTTCTGAGTCGCTTGCTTACCTTAGTATTCCCCAGTTGTAATTAATGTCCAAGATGCTCCTGTCCGAGCTGGACACCTAATGTTTTAGCCTCGACCACCTGCCCTTTTGGTATGGGATATCTATAGGTGCCAATATCTCAGTTCTTCCCAGATGTCAGCAGCCTGTGCTTCACCGGGCTTCCTGCAGAACACAGGTGGGCACTCTTGTTTGAAACAGCCACTCACAGAAAACCAGTTGGGGGCCATGTTGGTTCTCTTCATCATGGCCGATTTTTAAAAAATTATCTAGAGTACTGTATTAGTTTCCTAGGACCGCCATAACAAAGTATCACAAACTAGGTGGGTGAAATGACAGAAATATATTGTCTCACCACTCCGGAAGCCAGATGTCTAAGGTCAGAGTGTCGGTAGAGTTGGCTCCTTCTGAGGGCTGTGAGGGAGAGTCTGTTCCTCGTTCTTCTCCTGGATTCTGGTGGTTTGCTGGCAGTCTTTGGTGTTCTTTGGCTTATAGATGCATCACTCTGATCCCTACTTTCATCTTCACATGGCATTGTCCCTATGTGTGTGTCTCTGTATCCAAATTTCCCCTTACTATAAAGACAACAGTCATGTTGGATTAGGGCCCACCCTAATGACCTCATTTTAACTTGACCAGCTTCGGTAAAGACCTCATCTCCAAATAAGACCACATTCTGAGGTACGAGGAAAGAGGGTGAGCAGGGGTTAGGACTCTGATACATCTTTTTTGGAGGGAGACACAGTTCAACCCAGAAGAGGTACCTAACTGTTTTAGCTTACTTTCAAAGCTGGTTTTAGTATGAAATCCAATCATCCATTTATAAATTCTTGACACTGTACATTAAATATGTTCATGCCCAAAGCATTAGCTATTTCTCTACTCAGCCCTCTAGCTTGAACTCTCTGATAAACCCTAAGTGTGTTTTTGACTGCAGCTCTGTCTGAGCCAGTTATGAGCCCCGCTCCCTGACAGTGTACCTCAGGTGGGTGGAGTTGACTAATTCAGCAGCAGACCTCTTTCTCAGCGGGCTCCCCCAGAGGCTTTAATCTAGGGGTGGTAGCAAGTGAAGGCAAGGTAATTCTCAGGGAGGACATTAACAGATTGACAAGCTGCTTGCCTGGTACAGAGTTCGAAATTATAAGGTAAGGGCACACGATAATCACAGCAGACATTGGTTTTGAGAATTCTGAAGCTACCAATTGAGATGAGTTCTAAGCATGGTGTTGTGTCCTGCATTTATCTCTTCTGAAGGGCTTGACAGCTCCTGAGGAGATAAACACAGTTGGAAGATGTACCAGAAGTGTGGGCTGAACACAGAACAGCACTGCTTTTTCTGGTATGACTATGAGAAAAGGCAGCTTGGTTTTTAAGGCCCAACATACTCACTAGATCATTAACACTGTCCCAATGGGCACAGTGTACCCCAGTGCGAAGCAATGGCACCCCCCGATTATTTGAAAGATTCACCGTCAACTGTCTTTGCATACATGGGTAAGAAAGCAGATGGGAAGGAACAGTAGATGTGCTGGAGAGCATGTACACACGGATGTCACACCAAATAATGGCTGTGGAACCCCCTGAAACCCACTGAGCATTGTGCAGTCCCCGCTCTCAAGAAACCTGCTTCGGGGTCAGAGATATATGGCGGACAAATGTGAAACAGCCAGGATAGACGCCTGGACCGTTCATGTTCAAGTGCCAACTATTTGGTGGATAACGTAAAACGTCATTGAAAAAGAAAGCTAAAAATGGATCAGTTTGGTAAAAATCTAGATTTTTCAAAACATCTAGAAATGTAGTGTCATGTAGCAACTTTATGTGTTTTATAGCTGATGAGACTGATGACATAAGTATTCTTTACTGTGATCCCTGAGGAAGAATTTTCCTATTAGGATTCCATGGGCAATCTAGGTGCCTGTGCTTTGGCATGCCCTTCAGAACATGGAGGGAACACTGGAGAGTGGCCCCTGCCACTGCCCCAAGCAGAGATCAGCTAACACTTTGTAAAGGGTGTCTCCCAACTTTGGTTAACTACCCACCTTTAAATTTCAGAAAAGGTCCTGGATCTATGTACGTGTGTGAGTATGTGATTGTCTAGCTTATAATCTGAACCCATCTGACACAGGCAAGTGAAAATAGAGCTTATTGTACCTGGGTGAGACTATGTGAATTATAATAATAGGTATTGTCTAAATATAAAGGGAAAGGTTCATTAGAACTAACTTAATAGATGTCAGAGAATACATAAATGTTTTACATTAATTTAATATCATCAAAACCCTAGGAAAGATATTACTATCTCTTTAAAAAGATCAGGTGACATATTTCATATTTAAATCATTGTACTCTTTGTGGATCTACTATCCAGCATTCAAAGCCCAAGGAGACTTCAGCTGTACTTATCATGGTTTATATTTTTAGTTTGTGGAAGGTAAATGGTTGGTCTTGAGCCTCAGCTGGTCTCCAGGAGAAACATATTTCCATTGGAAATGAAAGGAACACAGAAACCAAATATAAAATAGAAGAGAAGAGTTTTAGCCACACGGTTCAGTTCCCGTTGGGCCTGTCCTGGTCGTTGTGGACCTGAGCATGAGAACCAATGCCCGTTTCCCAGTGATCTAACAGGTGTCTCTCTCCTCCAGTGTTCTGTTTCCTGTGGCGGCGGAGTGCGGATTCGCAGTGTCACATGTGCCAAGAACAATGATGAGCCTTGCGACTTGACAAGGAAACCCAACAGCCGAGCTCTGTGTGGCCTCCGGCAATGCCCGTCCAGCCGGAGAGTTCTGAAACCCAACAAAGGCACAATTTTCAATGGGAAAAAACTACCAACATCTGAGCAAGACCCCTTAAAGCCCGTCCCTTCAATGACATCGAATCCCAGAATGCTGACCACAGCCACAGTGCCTGAGTCCGTGAGCACGAGTTCTCTGGCAGTCACTAGCCCTAGTCCTACCACAGCCTCCAAAGAGGGAGACCTGGGTAGGAAACAGTGGCAGAATGGTTCAACCCAGACTGAGCTGGACTCCCATTATGTCGCTTCCCCTGGAAGTACGTCCCAGCCCATCCTCACTTCCTGGTCTCTGAGTGTCCAGTCAAATGAAGAGAATGTTTCCAATTCAGACCCTGGCCCTAACTCAGATGGTGACCTTTCAGCCACAACAACGAGTGGTTCTGATTTGTCACCTTCTAGCAACCCTGTGACTTGGCAGGTGACTCCATTTTACAATACCTTGACTAAAGAACCAGAAACAGAGATTCATAGTGGCTCAGGGGAAAACAGTGAACAGCCTGACAACAAAAATGAAAATAGCTCTATAGCATGGACCAAGATCGGAGTACCTGGAAATGATGCTTCAGTGGAAAGAAGTACAGAAATGCCACTGGGACCTCCACCTTCACCTTATCTTTCGGGGGCATCCTTGTGGTCACCTTTCAGCACGGTGACAGAAGGACTGCTACCCAGCCAAGGGCCTACTACTCTCAAAAATGATACGCCAAGAGCTGAGGGGATGGTCACTGAAAAGCCAGCTAACACGCCACTTCCTCTGGGTGGAGACCGCCAGCCAGCACCCTCAGAAAAGTTGGTAAACCTCAGCCTCCCAGAACTTCCAAACACGACTCCAACACAGAGTTCTGAACTGGTCCTGACTGAAGAAGATGCAACAAGTCTGATTGCTGAGGGGTTTTTGCTGAACGCCTCCAATTACAAGCAGCTCTCAACAGGCCACAGCACCGCATACTGGATTGTTGGTAACTGGAGTGAGGTAGGAGTTCCACTTCTTACCCCATGGCTGTTTCTATGTGGAAACTTAGTTAAGAGTGTTGCGTTCTTGTGCAGATTTCAAAACGGACTTGTATGAAATATAGTCTCATGTGGGATAAACTTGAAACAATCAGGTTCATGCCCTCACCTCCCTCTTTACTTTTCTAACCCCAAAAATGGGCCGGTGTGGGGGAGGGGGGTGCGGATAAGGGGGGAGGGCGGATAATAAATCTCCAGGGAAGAGAAAAATTGTAGTGAGATGGTAGTGAAAAGAACCTTGAACTAAGTCAGGAGGGCTGAGCCAGCCAGCTGTGTGATAGTGGAGAATTCAGTCTATCTCTGAGCCTGCTTTTTATTGCAGAATAATAAAGCTGGTGTAGATCATGTGTGATGTTCCTTCTGGTAGTTAGATAGTTTACTTGGGATTTTTCTTTTTCTTGAGTTTAGCCTATATAGCTATGAACTTATTTTTTTGAACTGCTCCCGTTGCGTCCCATTTTGAAAAGCTGTGTTTTAATTTTCATTTGTCTCAAGGTAGTTTCTGATTTCCTCTTTGGTCTATTTGTTGTTTAGTAGCATATTGATTAATCTCCACGTATTTTTGTTCTTTCCAGTTTCCTACTTTCATGTCATTGTGCTTGGAAAAGATGCTTGATATAATTTCAGTCTTCTTGAGCTTATTGAGGCTTGTTTTGTGGCCTAATACGTGCTCTATCCTGAAGAATGTTCTGTGTGCACCTGAAAAAAAAAATATTCTGCTATGTTTGGATGAAACGTTTTATAAATGTCTATTAAGTCAATCCGGTGTCATGTGACATTAAAGGCCATTACTTCCATATTAATTTTCTGTCTGGATGATGTAGCCATTGATGTGAGTGGGGTATTAAAATTCCCTACTGTTATATAACTGTGACTTTCCCACCTTATGTCCATTAATCTTTGCTTCATAGATTTAGGTGTTCCATATTGGGTTTGTAGATATTTATGATCGTTACACACTCTTCTTGAATTGACACCTTTATAATTATGTAATGTCCTTCTTTGTCTTTATTTACATTTTTTGTTTTAAAGTCTATTTTGTCTGATATGAGTATTGCTATCCCACCTTTTTTTTGTTTCTATTTGAGTGAAACACTTAAAAAAAAACTTTAATTTTTAATTTTAAATTGGTTTTGGGTACACGGTATGTTGGTTAGACATTTATATCATTTATGAAGTGATCTCCCCTCTCCCCAATTACTCTGCCACCCACCTGGCACTAACATAGCCGTTACAATAATATTGACTATATTCCCTATGTTGTGCTCTACATCCTGTGACTGTTTGGTAACTACTAATCTGTACTTCTTCCTCTCTTCACCTTTTTCACCCAGACCCCTGCCCCCATCCCCTCTGGCAGTCACCACTTTCCTCTCTGTAACTGTGAGTCTGTTTTTGTTTAGTTTGCTCATTTCTTTTGTTTCTTAGATTGTGTATATAAGTGAAATCATATGGTATTTGCCTTTCTCTGTCAGACTTATTTCACTCAGCATAATACCTTCTAGGTCCATCCATGTTACTGCAAATGGTAAGATTTCATTTTTTATGGCTGAATAATATTTCATTGCATATATGTACCACTACTTCTTTACCCAATCATCTATTGATGGACACTTCGGTTGCTTCCATGTCTTGGCTATTGTGAATAATGCTGCAGTGAATATAGGGGTGCACACTGATTTGATTTTCTTTGGATAAACACACAAAAAGTTTAATAACTAGGTAAAAAGGTAGTTTCTTCTACCTGAGCTTTGTTTGTTCTTCTTTTTCTATTCCTTTAAGTATAAAGTTAGACTATTTTTGAGACATTTCTTATTTCCTGAGGTAAGCCCATATTGCCATGAATTTCCCTCTTCGGACTGCTTTCAGTGTGTCCCATAGATTTGGGGTCATTGTGTTTTCATTTGTCTCAAGGTATCTTTTGAGTTCTTCCTTGATCTTGTTGTTAACCTATTCATTGTTTAGTAGCATCTTATTTGGCATCCATTTGTTTGTGTGTGTGTTTTCTTTCTTGTATTGATTTCTTGATTTGATTTCTAGTTTCATGCCATTGTAATTGGAGAAGACTCTTGATGCGATTTCAGTCTTCTTAAATTTATTGAGTTTTTTTTGTGGCCTAACGTGTAGTCTTTTCTGGAAAATGTTCCATGTGTGTTTGTTTCTTATTGCCTTTGTTTTCTCTGCATCCTAGCCAACACTTGTTGTTTGTTGATTTATAGATGATAGCCATTCTGACAGGTGTGAGATGATATCTCATATATATATATACCAGCATTCCATATCTGAGGGCCAAAGATGATAAGAAAGAATTGTCCAGTCCAGAACACCAGTTGCCCCAGTGGTCGAGAATGAAAGACCCCTGGTTACTACTCTTACTTAAGGCACCTGCTGGACACCTCCTTGCTGGTCTCTGCACTTCCAGTCTCTCCCCTTTCCAGTGCTTTCCACACATCATTGCAATAGATGTAAGATTGCCAAATCAGTCTTCCAGAAAGAATTTTCTAGTCAAACCAACCACCTGCTCACAAATCTTTAATAACTCTTCATTACATATCAGATCAGATAAAATCCACTCTAACATCTAAATAGCCTTCACAACCTTACATAATCCAGCTTTCAAACCATACTGCCTCCAACTTAAGCTTCAATAAATCTTACCCGCTCAGTTCCCTCAAAAACCTTCCCCTTTCAGTCCAACGCCTTTATTTGTTCTGTTTCCTTTGCGTGGACTTTTTTCTCCCTCCTCCTCTTCCCTTTTAAATCCTACCTGTTCTTCAGTATCAAGCTTTGAGCTTCTTCCATAAAGCTCTTCTTATCCTGAAGATTGGAAGTAATTTTTAGCGTTCCTTAACATTTGATCTACAGTCTCCCTCACCATGTCCTCCCACTTTCTGTCCTGTGTTGAAGGATGGTTCGTGCCCCCTGTTGTACACAGCACGTTCCTCTAACTCATTGTGATTCCAGAAATTAAAGACTGGATGTAAAAACCAAGTTAACACTATAAACAGACATGAAGCTTGAAACCAGATATTCTGCGTTTCAAACCTGGTTCAATCCCTTACCAACTGTATGTCCTCACTGCACCCCAGTTTCCTCATCTGTAAAATGAAGACAATATTAATGTCTGGTTCATATGATTGTTATGAGATAAAAGTAATGACTCTGTGTGAGTCTCTCAGGGGAATGTCAGCCATGTAGGAAGCACTCGGTGTTTGTTCCGATATCTGTTTATGAAACAAAAAACTTAGGTGCTGCACACTGTGCATGGGTGTGGTTCTTATTCTGGTGGAAAATCGCTTCTCATTGGATTGCCTTTTCATTCAGTCAGACCCCCTGGGCCAGTCATGTAAATGGAAGTGATAGCATAATTTTCCACAGCCATTCATAGAGGCTTCCATATGATTCCGATGTAGCTCTTCATATCAGTACCAGTTCTAAATACCCCCAAACCTGCTGCTTGACCTGTAAATCGTTTGCCGTGGCGTCGCTAGTGCCTATGACAAAATGAAGTTGTCCCTCTACCTCCTCAGGGTTCTCCCTTCTCTGAACCCCCACTCCCAATCTGAAATTGAAATAAGTGACAATCTATGGACTCCAATTTAATTTTCCTGCATATTGTCCACGGGCATCCTCCTGGCGGTTTTCCCTTTGCACTGTTCTTTGCTGCCTAAATAGAAACTGTCAAAAAGGAAGGAAATTAATGTTTGCTCGTGACACCTGAATCTAGCAGGACTAGATGAGATCCCCAGAGACAACATGCAGTTATTTGCAACATAAATGTGGTGCAAAGAACTATGGACATTACTTGAGGTTTACCAGGGTCATCACCAGCCTAGCAATATGGCCTCCCTAGCTCCTTTCCTGGGGTTGGGCAAATGTCGTGTTTTTCCCCATGTTGTAATTTGAAATTAACAACAGCCTGTCTGTGTGACCTAAACTCTCTGGGTTCCCAATACCTGGAAAGTGGGACTCACAGTGCTGACCTTGCAGGTGTGTTGTATTTAGTAGGTAACATTTGTAGAGCACTAACCATGTGCGTGAGTTATCTCTGTAGTCCTCACAGCCCAAATGAGGAGGTGCGAGGGGTTTCACTGGTTTCACAGGCTAGAGAAGTTAGAAAACTGCAAAAGGTTACACAAATTCCATTGGCGTTGGATTTTCCTCTCACATATAAATCAGGGATTCTCGGCCCTGGCTGTTTATTAGAATCACCTGGGAAATTATTTAAATGACTGATGCCTGGGCCCCACCTGCAGAGATTCAGATGAATTTGCCTGGGGCAGGGGCCCCAGCGCTGGTATTTTTAAAAGCCCTGCGGGCGCTTTTAGCGAGGAGCGGGGAGGAACTGAGAACTCCCAACTCCACATGGGGGGGGTCTGGG